ACAGGAGAGGAAGACCCTCAATGAGATGGATCGATTCTGTGAGTGGAGTGGTGGGAATGAGTGTGTTTGAGACGGCGAGGTTGGCACAGGATAGAATGGCGTTTAGGGCTCTTGTACATAGGGTCACTATGAGTTGCAAGCGACTCGACGGCACATAACAACAACAACGGTTAAAAGATCCTTTCTGTCTCTGGAATCTCTCAGTAAATAAAGTATAACATTCTGATTTCATGTTAATGAAAATGAATGTTTTCTTTTCTTCCACCATCATTTTTTGTGCCCTGTTTTGTCTTCAGTATGTCTTCTCATAAGACTGCAAGGATCAAAAGGTTTCTGGCCAAGAAACAATAGCAGAACTGGCCCTTTCCTCAGTGAATTCAAATGGAAACTGGCAATACAATCAGGAACAACTCCAAAAGAGGGCATTGGAGAAGAACCAAGCAGGGTCTCTAAGGAGTCGCACACGTGACAGAGATCACAACAGTGGCACGCGATGGGGCAAGAAGGTTCAGATCTCTTTGGTTCACAGGTCTCTGTGGGTCATAGTTGATTCAGTGACAACAGTCTGCAACTTCAGTCAGACGCAGGGTTCCTCCCTCTCCAAAGCTCATTTCTGATGCGTCAGGACTGCCTCACTGCTCGTGCAGGGTATCTAGGTTCTGTGAGGCTAGTCAAGCTCAGAGAAACTTCTACATCACCCAGTAGGACCCCAATCAGCACCAGCACCACCCCCTACTCCCTAAGTCACTCTCCAACTGCATCATGCTGATGTGTGGAATCTCCAGAAGGTTTTTAGAAATTGTAAATCTCACTGGAGGAAACAGTGGATCCAAACTGCTAACCTTTGGGTTAGTAACACAGCTCTCTATGCACTGTTATTGCTGCTGGTGGTAGTGTTAGGTGTTGTTGAGCTGACAATCACCCTAAGCTGACAGCAGCCTCCAACGTCTTTGAGACACTTAAGCCCAGTGCTAAAGTCATCATGTCAATCCATCTCATTGAGGGTCATCCCCTCCTCTGCTGACCCCTCCACCTTTCCAAGCATGCCATCTTTTATCCAAGGACTGGTTCCTTCAAACAACATTCCCAAAATATGTGGGACAAAGCTTCATTATCCGTGTCTTTAAGGAGCACCCTGGTTGCACTTTCTCTAAGATAGAATTGTTCTTTTGGCCATCTGTGGTAACATTTAGTGCTCTTCTCCAGCACCACAACTCAAAAGCATCAATTTTTCTTCAGTCATCCTTATTCACCGTTCAACATTCAGATGCAAAGCAAGTGACTGAAAAGGCCATGGCTTGATCTTTAAAAGGCCACTGATGCTTTTCAGCACTTAAGAGAGGTCCTTGACAGCAGATTTTTCCTAATGCAACACATCTTTTGATTTCCTGACTGCTACTACCAAGGGTGTTGATTGTGGATCCAAGTAAGATCACGTCATTGACAATGTCTCTTCCCTCCTTTTATTAGGATACTGACTATAGGGCCAGTGGTGAGGATTTTTGTCTTCTTGGTGTTGCACTGTAATCCGTATAGAAGGATGTAGTTTTTTTTATCTCCTGCAGCATTTCAAATACTCACTTTTGGCAAACAAGGTTGTGTCATCTGTATAATACAGATACAACACAATCCAGATCTACAGTCTTTAGACTCTCTAATGATGTATTCTGCATAGAGCTTGAGCCGGCGTGAAGAAAAGATGTGGCCCTGATGCACAGCTTTCTTGATTTTAACCATGATGTGCCTTCCTCTGTTTAGACAACAGCTCATTGGTCTAGGACTAGGTTTTGTATGAGCATAATTACATGTTCTTGGATTCCCATTCTTCTCAATGTTTATTATAATCCACACAGTGAAATGCCTTTGCATAGTCAATAAAACAGAAATAGACATCCTTTGATATATATGTTTTCAATCAAGATTTATCAAGACATCAGAAATTATATGCCTGGTGCAATGCATCATCTAAATCCAGTTTGAATGTCTGGCGGTACTTTGCCGATGTAGCCATTTTTGGATGATCTTCAGCAAGATTCTACTCTAATGTGGTATTAGTGGTTGTTGTTGTAACGTGCCATCAAGTCGCCTGTGACTCATAGAGACCTTGTGTATAATAGCACTGAACCTGCTCTATGCTGTGCCAATCTTATGGTCTCTGACACACCTATCCCCATTACCCCAGTCACTGAATCAATCCATCTCATTGAGGGTCTTCCTTTCCTGCGCTGTCTCTCCACCCTCTCAAACATGACGTCCCTCTCCAAGGACCTGTCCCTCCTTAAAACATGTCCAAAGTATGTCAGACAAAGCTTCAGAATCCTTGCCTCTGTTTGATAATTTCCACATTCTGTTGGATAATTTTTTTTTGAATGGGAACAAATATGGCTCTTCAAGTCAGTTGGCCAGGGAGCTGTCTTCCAAATTTCTTAGTACAGACTGGTGAGTACATCCAGGGTTGTAGTTTGTTCATACATGACAATTCCTGTATGTTCATACAGACATCAGTTCCTGGGGGGATCTTCGTTTTCTGCCAATGCCTCCAGTGCAACTTGAACTTCTTCCTTCAATACTGTTGGTTCTTGACCATATGCTACCTCCTGAAATGGATCAGCCAATTCTTTTTGGTACAGTGACCAGCTAGATTTTCCAAATTCCAATTATCATTGTTCAAAATCAAATGAGCCACGTGCTCTATCCTTGTCTCCAGAGGCTCGCCCAAAGGCATCCTAAACAGTCAGGTTCACCTTCAGACCTCAGTCACTGTCCTCTGCCCAGATGATGCCCCTCAGCTGTTCTAAGACTTCCCCACGCTGCCCATACAACCAAATCCCTCCTTCTCACAGTGCTCCAGGACCTCCCTGGGAGCCTGCAGGCACCAGAAACAAGTGCTTCAATTCCAAACCTGTTTACTAAGCCCCACTACCTTGTAACTAAACCAGGATCCACACTAGGAGACTTTCTCTGGCCTCTGTTCCAGCGTTATCAGGCCACGTGACCCCCCCTAAAAAGCTTCTCCCTTCACGAAGCCTTTCTGAATTCGGCCTTTGTGTCTCTTCCACAGCCCCCTTGTTGTTCATAGGGTCACCGTGGGTCTATTCCACTTGACAGTGTGGAACCACAGCAACAGGCCATTTGCACCAGCTCTTCTTGCCACAGGGATTGAGAAGGCTGCAGCTGATGCTGCTCCGCTCCCCACAGCCCAGCCAGGAACTTAGCATACACAGCAATCCTCAGCATGTCTACATCAGCCTCAGAACCGAACCTCTGCCCTGCTCCAGAAGTAAGAAGGAAGAAGAATTTAAAAAGCACCCTGGGAAAGGAATGAAAAATGTCAATTTCTGGACAGAGCCTGCTGAAATTCAAATACCAAGACCGCATTTTATTTTTCCAGAAGTGGGATACAACAATCCGCATTTCAAACAGAGTCTTCTGGGACATTCTGTGACTGGAATGGGGGAGGGGTTACGGCATTAGAGAAATCACTGGCTCAGTGGGTGGTGAACGCCCCCCCCTTGGAAGGTGGGGTAGATTGCAGTGGGCTCAGCCCAGCCTTTGGCACTGGAGTTATGCGGCCTGGATGGAGCCAAGTCGCAGAAGGATGGCGGGAAGGACCTTTTGGGAGTCAAGCTGCAATGGCACGCTAACCCAAATCCCTCCCGCCCCCATACTTTCCAATTCATAGCAATCCTATGTTCTTATTTGCCTTCAGTCCACTGCTGACTTTCGGAAACCCTATGCACAGGATCTCAGAACCCTGCCCTGTCTTGAGCCGATCTCACGGTCTCTGACACCCCTCTCTTCATTACCCCAGTCACTGTGTCAATCCATCTCACCCAGGGTCTTCCTCTCTTGCGCTCTCCATCTACCAACTGCTCCATAACGTTTCCAAGGCTCTAATTCTTCAAGGAAGGATACCAACTTCACATCCTCTTCTCCCTGAGTCACTAGTGGGCTTCACCTGCCCATCTTTCGGTTAGCAGTCAAGTGCTTTAACCCCTGCCCAAGCAGGGCCCCTGGACCGCACCCTGCTGTTGGTACGTTCCAGCGTGTCTGTACCGCCTCATGGCTGACCTTCCAGTGGGTTTTCAAAGGCTGTAAATCACATGGAAGAAGACTGTTCATCTCTGTCCTGCAAAGCGGCTGGCTGATTCGAACCACACGCCTCTGGATGAGCAGCGCAGCTCCTTATCACGAGACGGCCTGTCTGTCCTCTAACTGCGCCCTACTCTACTGGAAGTGGCCCAGGTCCTCTACAGAGAAGACGCCTCCCACAGTGGCGTCTTCTCTCTGCCTCCGGTCTGTCCACTGGGCCTCCTGAGCCCCCCACAGAAGGAAAGGGTGAAACCTGCCAGGTCTGCAGAGTCCACGAAGGAGCGTCAGACTTTCCCCAAATGCCCTGCACCCACCCCACCACACCCCCGCCCGAAGCGTGGTTCCGCGAGGTCAGTCAACCGGCAGAAACCCTCGGGTCAACCCCTGAAAGCCAGAGGCCCCAGATCACCACACCCCCCCGGCCCCCGGCGGTCGCTCACAGACAGGGCTGTGCCAATGATGTGCCCTCTCTGTTAGGCAAGCAGTGGACAGCCAGGCAGAGACGCTAGGAGGTCGACGGAGGGTGAAGAGTGGACTTTGCTTCAAACTGGGTCTCCTGGAGGGCTGGGTGGAGGGACATTTCCAGCAGAGTATGTGCGTGTGGTGCGCACTGATTTGGTGGGCGCTTCTGACTGTGTGTCTGCTGGTGACCATGGTGGTGGTGGTGGTGGCTAGGGAGATGGCGGGACGTCGGCAGGTGGACAGTGTACTTGGTGCATGGTGCGTGCATTCGCAGAGATTGCGGGGCGAAGGTCTGTCCGGGAGGAATTCCGGGAAGGGATAGAGCGCGACGAGGAGCGTGTGAAGAAGGCAGAGCATGCACCCCGCGCCTCCGGAGCTGAGTCTCCAGACCTCCAGTCCCGCCTTGGGGCTGAATCCCCGAGCCCCTGCCCCCCGCGCGCCCTTACCAGCTGCAGCAGCATGAGCGCACCGAGGCTGGAGCGCACGAAGCCCAGGTCCGGGCGCAGCGCCGAGCCCGAGACGCCGGCGCCCTGCGCGGGGCTGCTCGTCCGCGTGCTCACTTTGGACGGGAACTCGGCCATGGCGGCTCCGCTCGCCTCTCCGGGCTGCTCCAGCCACCGCCCCTCCGGCGGGTACCGGCTCCGGGCGGCTCCTCCCCGGGGACTCCCGTCGGCACTGCGGCTCCCGGCGCGACGCGCGGCGCCCAGACCCGGAGCCCCGGGCG